ATATATACATGTTTGCATAAATCTCTTTTAAATTTTAAGAAATTAATTTCTATTGGAGTACAGTTGATTTTACAATGTTGTGTTAGTTTCAGGTGTACAGGAAAGTGAATCAGTTATACATATACATATATCCACTCTTTTAGATTCTTTTCCCATATAGGTCATTACAGAGTGTTGAGTAGAGTTCCCTGTGCTATACAGTAGGTTCTTGGACAAGAAAATATTGAATTAAGATTAACAACCTAAGGAGATATCATTTGCTTTAATTTATTTCGGTTACCTCTTGTGTTTTTTTGAACCATGATAGATTTACATTGAAAAGTTCTTTTTGCCTACCTTTAGTTTATTGATAACAAAGTAAGCTTTGAACCTATAAGAGTGATAACAATTCACTGTGCTTTCTCTTTGCAAAGTCTCTCTCTCTCTTTTTTTTAGTTTTATAGTTTGCTTTGTACCCTATGGTTTATATATTATATTTGATTGATTATACAGTCAATCACATACAAATCCCAACCTGAAAACCTTACACTTCCGTTGTTCCTTTTATGTCTCTGTTGCTATATTGTTGATATTTTCCATTATGTTGTTTTTAGTTCTTCTTCAAATGTGGAATGGAAAAAGGCAGATTGATGTGATGTTTAACTTTTGTTGTGTAATTAATTCTTCTAATTTTCTCTCAGATCATTTTTTAGAATTTAAGTTGCATACCAGAAATTATTCTTAATTTTGTTTCTTTAATTATAAAGTGGTTTTAAAATTCTTTTTGACTGCTTTTTTTACTTTAAAAGTTGAATATCTCAAAAGTTGGTGTGTAGAGGTATTTTTTTTTGAGTATTACTTTGGATCTTATGGTATATTCTGTGTTTTCATATATAAAGTGTTTTAAACTTTCAGTACAACTCTTTTTTTTTTTTTTTTTTTTGCGGTACGTGGGCCTCTCACTGCTGTGGCCTCTCCCGTTGTGGAGCACAGGCTCCGGACACGCAGGCTCAGCGGCCATGGCTCACGGGCCCAGCCGCTCCGCGGCACGTGGGATCTTCCCGGACCGGGCCACGAACCCGTGTCCCCTGCTTCGGCAGGCGGACTCTCAACCACTGCACCACCATGGAAGCCCTCAGTACAGTTCTTAATTATGTATTCCATGTTGCTTGTCATGTTTTGGATTCTTTTTTTTTAAACTTAGTCTTAGTCCGTCAGGTTATGTTACATTATTACCACTTTTAATCTTGCTAAATTTCATGGTTGGTCATTAGCATTAACAATTCTTTTTCCTAGCTTACAGTAATGTTTTTAGTCTTTACTTAGTTTATTGGTGCATTTTACTCTCATGTTTACTTGAATTTAATTTATGCTTTCATTTTTTCTTTTGTTTGTGTAAGTCAGGTATTTGTGAGTCTCTAGACTTTTTAGCTTCTAGCGTTTTGTTGCAAGCTTTATGCTGTGTTTTTCAATAATAGTAATTAGTTTGCCTTTTAAAATTCTTACATTTTTAAAAGCTCATCTTTCCCCCCTAATTAATGGACCTTATTTTTTTGAGCATTTTTAGGTTTACAGAAAAATTGAGCAGAAGACATAGAGAGCACCCACAAACCTCACCACTCCCCAGTTCCTTCTGTTATTCACATCTTTCATTAGTGTGGTACATTTGCTACAATCAATGAAAAGCTCATCTTTTAAAAAATATTGTATTAATTGCCAAGAGGTGATCCTGTTTGCCTCCATCCTCTAAGTCTTACATAATTAATTTGAAAGTTTACAGTTATATGCTCAGAATATGTAACCAATTAAAATGATTTTGTTTTCTTTAAAACAGGGTTATTTAGGTGGCTGTATGAGAAGTTCCGCTATCCGTTTGCCCCAATGTATGGAGGTTTTCCAGTGAAGTTACGCACCTATTTAGGTGACCCCATTCCATACGATCCAAAGATCACAGCAGGAGAACTAGCTGAAAAGGTAAATTATTCTTTCTTTCTTAGTTTTAGGACACATTTGTACTTTCAGGTTTTATTTTTAAAATTAAATAATTCTACACGCATGTTCTGGATCAGTGGTGATTTTTTCCCCCCAGGGGACATCTGGCAATGTCTGGAGACATTTTTTATTGTCACCACGGATGAGACTCGGGAGGAGGTCGTGCTGTTGGTGTCCAGCGGGTAGAGGCCGGGGATGCTGGTAAACATTCTGTAGTGCACAGGACACCCGCCCCGCCCCCAACAAAGAACCGTTCTTTCTAAAATGCCAATTGTGTTGAGGTTAAAGTTCCTGGCACTTTATTAAAGTTCCTGGTTAATTAAAAGGTTTCGTTAAGTGATATTCAGAAGAAGAAAGCTTTGACCTCCATGAAAAGAAATTGCTTTTGTCTGGTAGAAATAAATACCTTGGGAGGAAAATGGAATCATGTTTAAGAGTGTGGGTTGTGAAGTCAGATTGTTCTAGTGCCACTGTTTGTTTGCTCGGGCAGGGGAGCAGGGGAGAGAACGGAGCCCACTCACAGAGTTACCCCTGGGGGTCACATTGAGAGCAGTGTCTGCCATCTAGTAAGTTTTCCATGACTGCTGGCTACTGCTGTTATTCTAGGAACTTATGGCCCAGTGTGGCAGGTAAATAACTAAATCGATGCTTTTAAGGTGATGCGTTAGCACAATGGTGTGCTTGCGGCACTCTTTTTCAACCTGGGCACTATTGGTATTTTGTTGTGCGGTTGTTCTGTGCCCCGTAGGGTGTTTACTCACTAGATGCTGGTAGCATCTCATCGCTATCCCTCACTCATTGTGACAATAAAAAAACATCTCTAGACATTGCCATTATCCCCTGGGAGACAAAATCTCCCGTGGTTGAGAACTGCTGTTTTAGGGTATTATGGAAACACAAAGGAAAGACATCTAAATTAAACCAGGGATGCCTCCTTGAAGGAAGTGATGCTTGAATCCAGTTTTGAAAGGCGAAAAGGGATTCGCTGGGTGAAGAGTAGGGAGGTAGAGGAAACAGCGTATGAAAGGATGGCAGCACGAACTGGCGTAAAGTCTTCAGGGAGTTGAGGGTGGTCTGGGGTAGCTAAAGGGATAGAGACATAGACAGTGAGGCTGGAAACATAGGAGTGTCTCGACCACAAAGGCACATCCTTGATTTTGTTTCTTGAAAGTCAGGGGTAGCTACTGAAAGCAGATGACTGATGTAATAGGTTTGCTTTTAGAGAGATCACCAGAAGCAGTAGGGAGGCTGAGTCTGAGTGAGACCAGGGGAAGCTCAAAGGGGAAGGAGACTGCTTTGTGAGGGAAAAAATAGGAGACGCTTCCTAGAATTGAGGGCATTTGTGGTAGGTCTTGAAAGACGGACGGGACTTGGACATGCAGACTTGGGGCAGGAGGGAAGAGTTCCAACAGAGAAACGGTGGTAGGAAAGTTGACTGCACACACCAACAGTGTAGAGCAGCCTGATGGGACTAGGAGAGTGAGGTTGGGAAGGGTGCCTAATAAATTCGCCTTCAGGAATTTCGCAAAGCATGTGAACATCGTGAAGGTTCTAAGAAGCCCCGCAATAAAGAGGTCTATTTAACTTGGTTTCAAAGAGCTTTGCCCAGTCTGATCTGACCAAAACCAGCTCCTGGCTTTTCCTGGAATAGCAGCTAATAACAGCTCTGGAATAAACTGGGGGAATCACTAGCTGAGTGGGTAGCGAGCATTTGGTTGAGATGAGACTGGAAAAGTAAGTGGGAACTCTATTTTTCGGCCCGTGAATAGCAGACTAGGGATTTTGTTTAGGAGAGGCCATTGGAAGTAGCCGTTCACCCGCAGTGACACTGGCCAAGGCAGGCACACAGCCACACTGGGCGTTAACAGGGCAGGACTGGATCCTTTCCACAGGGATGGCCCAGAAGAGGCAGAGCAGACGAGCAACTGTAATGCCCAGGGCTCAGCAAGGTCTGGCACTTAGGAAAGGATGCCCAGCTGAGGCAGCTAGAATGTCACATCAGATGAGACTGTTCAAATCAAGCAGCCGGTACGTAGGAAGCTTGACAAAGGTAACATTAATGATACATTATGTTCCTTGTCTGTAAGCTTCATTCTGAGAAAACGTACCTCCTGCTAGGTATTCTACTAACTGGTTAAGAGAGTTAACTCAGAGCGGGTAGCAATCCTTTCCCTGAAAGGAAACCCCTCCCACACTGGTTTCCCCCGTCCGGGCAGGCTCTGTGCCCAGCACTTCTCCCATCCCCAGGTGGCGCCTCACGGTGGTGACTTCAGGTTACACCAGGGCTCAGCCCTCACCCTGTCATGTTGCTTCTGCCCACACACTTTATTGTTCCTGTACCACATCTCTGCAGCTCCCTGACAAATGCATTCTCCTTTAGCACAGAGCTGAACTCTGTTTTGTTCTTTAAAAAGGTTTTTCCCGCCTAACTATTAGGATTTAATTGGGTCAGAGCGAGTTAGGAATACTCTTTTACAAATACCGTCCATTTTTATGGTTAAGATACAAGGTAATGGAGAGAGAGGGGAAGAGAAACTGGCCTGGAAGTTTAGGGATCTGAGTCCTAACCCTAACTCTCCCACCAGGCAGCAGAGTCAGGTTGGGTAAATGGTATGTTCCTCCCTGAGTCTCAGAGTCCTCAACTGTAGAATGGGGAGATTAAAATAGATATCTCAGAGGTTTTGTCCAGGTCTAAAATTAAATGAATCCTGTTCCCTTATTTTTCTCAGTTAAGGAGAATATATTACTGATCATTAAATTCCCGGGACTTGATTTTTCATATGAGTGAGAAATATATTCATGGCACCGGTAGAGTTAGATATTTTAGATGTTAAAATATATATTTACCAATTCAAACTGGAAAAAAAAGAGGCCTTCCTGAATCATTGAAATACCTCAGTTACTGTCTCCAGTTACTTTATGTACTTTGCCATCAGTATTTAAAGTAACAGAAATTGTCTCCGAAAGCATAGTTTAGTAAAATTTCTTGAGGGAATTTCCTTAAATATATAGTTGCCGTATCCATATTTCTGATGGTAAGTTGTCATTGCTGAACTAAAGTAAACTTGAAATAAAGAATACTTGAAATTTTCCTTTTGTGGATACATTGCATGAATTTCCAATCTCCATTGTTTAGAATATAAGCATAAACTGTAGCGTAATGATCCCTGGATTATCGCAAATTCAAAATTACTAACATCTAAAGTAATGTAGAAATGCAACCTCATTTAAGAAATGGGAGCTAGACTGTTCAGGCATTTGATTGTGGAGCAGATTCATTTTGTAGACACTATCTAAATCTAAATTAAAATACACTGTACTCATGCTGAAGAGGGCACTTGGGATACTGCCTTAAAGTTCTCTCAGTCTTAAAGAAATCTGTTCTGTTTCCATCTGTCTCTTTGCCTCTCTCGCTGTATTCTGCATACACACATCCACATATACGTTAAGTACAGATTTATTTATATGTACAGGTATATATAATATACATGTCCTATTAAGGTGGAAGGAAGGTGGGGAGAAGTGGGTAGACTTGAGTGGTACTGGGAGGTGAGCTAACGGATGCCACCTATGGATTCTTATTCTCAATGAATGAGAAGCAGGAGTTGTTAAGGATGATTCCCAGGTTTGGGTTACCGGGCTGGATTCATGGCCATTTGCTGAAATAGGGCGTGAACTCAGGAAAGGACAAAGGATGGGATGGGGGGAAAGTGTGTTAGTTCAGTCTAAATTAAGCATGTTGAGTTTGAGGTGCCTTTAAAACATTCAAGGGAAGTCATATTGAACATTCCTATCCGAGGCTGGGCGGCTGGAATTGTAAATCTGGGAGTCGGCAGCAAATGGATGGTAATTAACGCTGTGGAAAGCTTACTGGGCCTTGGAGGAATAGTCAGGGCTTGATTTGGGGAGTGTATATCTGCAAAAGGCGGTTGAAAGGGAGCGTCCTGAAAACCTAGCTTTTCCTCCAGGAGTGTGAGTTCCAGAAGCAGGATCAATGGTCACGTCTAATGGTGACTAAGAGGTGACGTCAGATGAAAAGAATGTCCGTGGGATTTAGTGACACAAGGGGGTCATTAGTGATCTTTGCGAGAGCCGTATTTTCTTAATGCACAGACCTCATATTTCTCCACCCAAAAGTTCTTCCTTGATACATCAATTCATACTAAACAAAGTCTCTACTTTTTCACTTGGTATTTAACTCCCTTCGTGATTTAATTGAAACCTACCCGTAAAGCCTTATACTGCCCAGCAAATGAACACATACCTGAAATGCCAGCTCTCAAACAGTCGCTTGACTGTTTTCCCGTGGTCTTTTCCGTCTTGCTGCTTTCTTCACTGCTATTGAAATCTCACAGGCGGGGGGAGACCCAGACCAAACAGTACCCTGTCCACGCAAACTCCCTGGTCACCGGCCACCGATGAACTTCAGATGTGTTCTTTTCACATCTCAGATGATACAGCTCACAAATGAGCTTACATTCTAACTACTTTGTCCTTGATTACGCTTATTATGAGCTCCTTGAGATTAGAGACTTGTTTCACTAATGTTATGGCTTCCAAAGCATCTAGTATTTTCTGAGTGAATGAATAAAATTTTAAAAATATACGGCACAGAACACAACCTGTGTGTCAGTCGCTGTGCTAAGTGCCTGAAGACATGGCTTCAGTTTCATGTAATCCTTATCGTAAGTGTATGAAATTGTTCTCATCTCACAGATGTGAAAACTTGTGCATTAGAGAGGCATATTTTTAAAATACATCTTTGGGCTAGGGTTTCTTAATTATATTTAAAAATAAATGAAGGTCCAGGATTTGTAAAAAGAAGGCTTAATGAAGGTTAGCATCTGAAAAGAAGTGTGTACGGGTGTGCCTGCTTGCACTATGTGCAGGCAGAAAAATTTTTTTTAGAGAGCCACAAACTGATTTAAAGTAAAAATTGTTATTGTAAATCGACTATACTTCAAAAAAATAAATTAAAACCAATAAATTAAAAATTGTTGAAATTTGTCATGAATTTAATGGGAACAAATAGTTTTAGAGGATTTCTTGATATATCCTAATTGACTTTTCCATTGCTATGACTTAATTTAAATTCCTATTAAATTATCTAGAAATTGGGGTAAAGGACTAAAGCATATCTGCTCGTTCGTAGCTTTCCTCACTTTTTCCTGTCGCATTGCCCGATGTGATTGGTGTGTATGGTCATGAAAGACAAATACAAAGAAGTTTATTAATGGGTGAAAAGGAGTGAAAACTTCCATTTACCTACCAGAAAATTTCCTACTACATTTTTCTTCTGATTTTTTCCCCCTTCAGTTCTTTTTAGTGTTTATTATGTGCAAGGCATTGCTGTGCTCCGTGCTGGAGAAATGCTAAGATGTATTTTAAGGAGCTTACAACCTGGTGTAGAAAATTGCCATGCAGACAGTATCTGTAATTCAAGTGTAATAAAGTAAGTATAAGAAATATGCTATGCACAGAGAAGAACCACTGCATCAATGAAAGTTCAAGAACCTTCTGTACTAAACACAATTTGCAACGTTCTGTTATTTTTTTGTATGTTTAGAATGCTTTTTGAAGTTAAATAAACAGTATTACATTAAAAAAAAAAGAAATATGTTATGGGCGTGCTGAGAAGGAAATCATTTATTCTGAGTAGCGATGGGTGCTCAGTTAGGGGAGATTTCTCATAAGTAATAGTATATGAAAATCCTTACTAACTAAATATCTACATTGAGAACTAAAAGAATAACGGCTTTTCTTTTGTTTTCTTGGTAGACGAAGGATGCTGTTCAAGCTTTGATTGACAAGCACCAAAGAATACCTGGAAACGTTATGAGTGCTTTGCTAGAACGTTTTCATAACAAACAGAAGATCAACTAGAAGACTCTTTAATACATTTATATTAATATGTTTATGTCTGTAGGACTGTCTTCAAAATTTTGTGGGTTCTATAATTAGTATTTTTAAAAAAATCACGTTAATAAGCATCTTTCACTGAACTTGTTTAACATTGTATTGTCAATTTTGTTTCTGCAATCCATTGTGTCAGATTTAAACAATAACTCGTTACATGCCTAATTATTCAGAAAATGATCATGGTTCTTTTTATAATTTCCTAATAATGTATCATAAACATAGATTCTTAAAGTTAAGTTTATTAATAACAGCGATGGAGGTTAAACAAACATTCCTAAATAATGCATCTGGTTTCTGTGTCTCTTGCACTGAGCTAGTTTTGCAAGGTTTCATAACCTAGGGTTTAGTACAGACACTTCAGTTAGGAAAAAAAAGCTCTTTCCTCTGCCCCTCATTCCTTTCATGACCTTGGGCAAATCACATAATGTTTTTATGCCTCAACGATTCAATTTTTAAAAACATGTTAATACTTTGGCGAGGAATATTGTTTTAAATTCCTTATATTTGCTGTGATTGATAACTGTAGAACGAAATTATAACTGAATTAATTAAACAATACCAACATCTTTTAGAAGTTTATATATGTATTTTGTCCATAGGATGTTTAAATTATTCCTTCAGGTATGATGTCAAGTTGCCAAGGACAGTGAAAATGATGTACTGTTTTTCAAACTGAGTAAAAAAGAAATTAGGGAAAGTAAGATTTCTAATTATTGTTATTATTCTTTCTAATATATATATATTTTTTTTTCCGTACGCGGGCCTCTCACCGCTGTGGCCTCTCCAGTTGTGGAGCACAGGCTCCGGACGTGCAGGCCCAGCGGCCATGGCTCACCGGCCCAGCCGCTCCGCGGCATGTGGGATCCTCCCGGACCGGGGCCCGAGCCCGCGTCCCCTGCATCGGCAGGCAGACTCTCATCCACTGCGCCACCAGGAAAGCCCCCTCTAGTATTATATTTTTAATGAGACTCTGTAGACAAGCCGTACAGGGTGTGCTGTGCATTGTCAGCCCTATGATATGGCATTTAGTAGTGTCAGGATAGAAATCACGGTTGTGCCCTGCATCTCCTATGTTAGAAGCTGATTCTAGGCTGATGAAAGCACAGAGAGAAAGCTCTGCTTTTGCTCAACATCATGGCTTATTCAGCTTGACTTTGCAACCAGTCAGATGGTTTATTGTTTCAATAAAAATATACTTGAATAATGAATTTATGTGAACATGTCTTTCTGAAAAATTAATGGCTTTCGATTTGTTGTCTCCTTGAAATCTGAATTTAAAAGTATTTAAACACAATAGTACCAGAAATCAAATGCAGTATGACCCTCTCCCTTTTTAAGATATTAAATTACTTGGATTTTTGTATAAATTTTTGTATAACAAGTATGTATGTATGATACGTGTAATGTATATAAAATTAAGCAGCATAAGAATAAAAGCTGAACTGAAGTTCATATTCTTGTGAGATTACATATGTGACATTTTCTTAGTTTAAACTGATTTTTTTGTTTTACTATTTATGTATTTCTCACCTACAATCATATTCATCAATCTCAGCCACAATGAATAAACCTGACTTTCCAATGTAATAAATATATTTTAATTCCAATCAATGAAAAGAGTCAACTAATGATATTTTGCAGCTTTTTTCCCCTCTCTAGCAGTGAGCAGTGTTTGTTTAAAATTGATAAATATTTCTGGAATGAAGAAATAGATGATCATAATATGAACGAGAATAATATTTTTTGGCAACTATTGGGTTTTAAAAACTGTAGAAAGAAACATTCATTGCTAATGTAGCAAAAGCCGTTATTTTTTACACTATTTAAGTTTTACTGCATTACTTAAAACTTTTTTTCTTCTTTGATACTCAGATTAACAGGAAGGCTTTCTGTCTTGTTTGATGGAAGATCTCTATCTTTGCTATTTGAATTTAAATGCTATTTAGAAGAATGAGGGAATGTGACTAAATATAGAGACATAAGTAATAATAGAAAGGAGGAGGTGTTGGGGTTTTTCTTTGTTTTTGTTTTGCTTTGTTTTTAGTTTACCATTTTGTCTTACACTTAAAAATTTTTTTGTTTTATATTGGAGTATAGTTGATTTACAATGTTGTGTTAGTTTCAGGTGTACAGCAAAGTGAATCAGTTATACATATAGCCGCTCTTTTTTAGATGCTTTTCCCATACGGGTCATTACAGAGTACTGAGTAGAGTTCCCTGTGCTCTACAGTAAGTCCTTGTTGATTATCTATTTTACATATTGTAGTGTGCATATTTTAATCCCAACCTCCTAATTTATCCCTCCCCCCCAACCTTTCCCCTTTGGTAACCATACATTTGTTTTCTATATCTGTGAGTCTGTTTCTGTTTTGTAAATAAATTCATTTGTATCAGTTTTTTAGAATCCACATATAAGTGGTATTATATGATATTTGTCTTTCTCTGTCTGACTTACTTCACTTAGTATGGTAACCTCTAGGTCCAACCATGTTGCACAAATGGCATTATTTCATCCTTTTTTATGGCTGAGTAACATTCCATTGTGTATATGTACCACATCTTCTTTATCCATTCATCTGCTGATGGACACTTAGGTCGCTTCCATTTCTTACTGTAAATAGTGAACACTAGGAAGTGCATATCTTTTCAAATTGTGGTTTTCAAGGAGGGGATGTTTTTCATGCTTTTTGAAGCGTGTCCTCAAGTCAGAACCTGATGAAAGCCAGGGACTCCCTCCAGAAGCATGAACTTGGCCCACTTTTATGGGAAATCTTTCATACCCTTTCAAAAAAACTTTCATTTTGAAACAATTACAAATCTACCAAAAAGTTGCAATTATTGTGCACAGTACTCCATATACTTTCACCCAGATTCCCCAACTGTTATGGCACGTTTGTTTTATTATCTTCATACGTTCTCTCTCTCTCTCTTTCTCTCCTCTCTCTCTTTCTCTCTGTCCTCTCTTTCCTCCCTCCCCACATATATATCTATAAAGTTTTCTCCTGAATCGTCTGATGGTAAATGCAGATACCATGCCCCTTCCTATGTGGCCGTCCATTTACGGAACCACAGAGCAATGATCAAAATCAGGAAATTTGTCATTAAGATAATAGTATTATCTGATCTAATGACCGGATTCAAATTTCACCAGTTGTCTCAATAATATCCTTTGCATCAATTTCTCCTCCTGGTGCACGGTTCATAGCAGGACCACACACTGCATTTAGTTTTCCTATGTCTTTAGTCACCTTTCATCTGGGATGATTCCCCAGCCCTACTTTGTCTTTAATGATACTGACATTTTTGGAGAAGACAGACTATCTGTTCTGTAGCCACCTCTTCAATCTGTTTTTCCCTGATATTCCGTCATGATTTGATTCAGGTTATGCGTTATTCCAGAAATGCTACATAAATGATGCTGTGCTCTTTCCAGTGGGTCATATCAGGAGGCATAGAATGTTGGTTTGTGTCATTAGTAATCGTAATAACTTGACCACTTGGTTAAAGTGGCGCCCACCAGGTTTCTTCCCTGTAAAGTTATTATTTCCTTTGTAATGAATAAGTTTATGGAGAGAATATGTAAATATCTGTTCCTCATCAAACTTTCACCCACTAGTATTAGCATCTTTGAACTGAGTGTTGCCGGGATAAATTCTTACTCTGAGGGTTTCAACGTGTGAAACCCTATTATTATTATTCTATTATTCTACGTTTATGAGTTGGCATCCTACTGTAAGAAGAAACTTCCCAATTTCCACCCCCCCACACACACACCAAACACTTAACCTGTCATCTGAGGTTCATATTTTGTTTAAAGGATAATGCATATATACTCCTAAGTGATTTAAATATGAGACCCTTTGAAGTTTATGACATTTTATGAACCATTGAAATAATAGACATTTACAGGGTAACTTGCGTGTGTTTTTGTATTTATGTATATGATTACTATTTTTAAAATATATTTTTGTTACTTTTTTTATTGCGCAGATATACATACCAAGATTTACCGTTTTAACCCTTTTTAAGTGTACAATTCACTGGTATTAAGTACATTCACAATATGGTGGAGCCATTTCCAGAATTTCTTCACCATCCCAAACAGAAACTCTGTACCCATTAAACAATAACTGTCCATTCACCTCCCCCTCATTTCCTGGTAAACTCTTCTACTTTCTGTTTCTTTGAATTTGCCCACTCTAAGTACCTTATATAAATGGAATCACAATATCTGTCTTTTTGTGTCTGGCTTATTTCCCTTAACATAAATATCTGAGCTCTTTCCTGACGCCAAATGACATAGTTCCAACGCCAGTTCTCTGACATCTGCTGGGTGTCCTCCAATTCCATTCAAGTCTGACACTAACTACGGGAGTCAACACAGACCCTATAGGGTAAGGGCTCAGTCCCACAAGACTGCCCCTACTTCAGATGCCAGCTGCAAATGGGGCCCCCAGGCCACTCCCACTTCCGCCTGGCCTACTACAGTGTTGGAGGTTCCCATGACATCCCCTCAGGTGGCATAATTCCATAGAACAGCTCAGAGCTCAGGAAAATGCTGTACTAAAAATTTTACTATCAAAGTTTCAACCCAGGAACAGCCAAATGGAAGAGGGCAAGCTACAGGGGGCGGGGCGCAGAGCTTCCACGCCCCCTCTGGGTGCACTGCCTGCCCAGCGTGTCCAAGTGTTCACCAACCCACAAGGCTTCGCAGACCTCACAGTGATCACCAGTGGTGGTTGAATTACATCTCTAACCCGTCTCTGCTCCCTGGACGTTGAGGATGGGGCTGAAAGTTTTAACCCTCTAATCACACAGTTAGTTTTTCTGGTAACCAGCTCCCACCCTGAAGCTATTTAGCACCCCCCGGCGCCCCCCCCACAACCAGGAGTCATATATTGTTGATATTAAGAATCAGCAAATTAAGAGTCATAGCACTGACAGTTGTGCCCTTTGTTCCTTGAAGAATACTTACC